ATAACATAGTTCTGTACAAAATATTACTGTATGGCGAATATTCTGCCCCAACTATTGCTGGGGAGGAAGAAAAGATTATCAGCGGTCTTCCAGTAACTGATCAGTTCGACTAGTGAGGTTATCAAAGGCATATAGATCATGCTTGGATTCATTTGATATGAAGCACAGTTTCTACACCTTATGATGCACAATCACTGCAAGTAACTCAAATGGTGCATGTTAGCTTGGATTCATCCAAACAGTACAACCTACTTACTTGGCTTGCGTTGCAGAGCCAACGAGTGGATTGACAGGTTGTTGGAGAGACTCTTTTGAGTACATCGGTTCGACCTTATCGCTTGACCAAAACATATCCTTCTCCAATCTCGGTGCATCGTTTGATGCATCATCCACTATACACAACGCTGTCTGATTGAAGGGTGTCAATCATGAGTCATTTTCATTCTTAGTTCCATTGGTTTTAATCTACTCATTGATCTAGTTGTTGATCATGTATCGCACAAAACAACTAGGATCGAGACCTAATCAAGGAATGAACAGGATGAGGTTGATGAGACCTAAGTTTTTGGATGCGACGCTTTTGTTAATGGTGGCGTTTTCAATTCAGTCTGAACCTTTGACGACCAATGATTTGATTGAGAAATTCTTACGGCGAGGTTTTTATCGAGCAAATAATTGCACTCGAAATCATCGTCGTCTTCACCGAACGGATTCAGAAGACCTTCGGCCACCTTCATCCATCCAACCAAAATCAAAAATTCCATCATCGTCATAAGTGGCAGTGTTAGATCAATCTTAAACCAATAAAGTGAAATCGCAATCACTTCGCTTAACGATAAACATTTTGCCATCTCCACAAACATTCTCCGTTATGATGTGTGGACCTTTCAAACTGTCAATTGGATTGTTTTTTATGAATGGTACTCAAAAAATGATGAAGTTAATGGTATGCAATAAATTCAAAAATCAAGATGCACATACACTACTTTTATTCGGAGCATCACGCTCAGTGATAATGAATTGTCGCGAAAGCAAACAAAGTGCGAAGTATAGATAAACAGCTAGGAAGACCAGCTGAAATCATTGGATCACTGTTATTTGTCGCTGAACAGCATAAATAATCATTTTCAGCTCTTAATTGAAGAAATGTATCCAGTAAGAAGCAAACACCTCAAAATGCAACAAAATTTTCCTAGAACCTTACGAGTAGCGCTATCTAAACGTGCCAATTTATATAAAACATTGCGTTCATCATTGAGGAAAACATTATGTAGGACGTTTTTGATACTCGCATATTTTCTCTTGGTTCTAAAATGTGAAGTCGATGCGTTTCATACCAAAATTAAAAACACTCTGCTATGAAATATGTTTCATTGGAATAATCTTCGAGTACTAGCCACTATATTTGTTCAGCATACCGAATATATATTTTAGGGATGAAAGCTTATCTTCCCATAATGCATGTCCTTGCTGAAAGAATATGTGCTTTTGTAAACTACAGGCAAGGAATGTGCGATATAGCAAACAAAAAAAAGAATTTACGGCCTTATCGCCGTGCCATTTTTGGTCTTTTCACACAATGAGTGCAACTTTAATCATGTGAACAGCTAGACACNTTAATCACATGAACACAGCTAAACACCTTAATCAATTGTATCTTTCTTAACAACATTCAAATTGTTGTGTTGTTCGGATAGACAGAAACAATGCACTCATCACAGAAAAATGTGTAGTTTTTATCGAGAACTATGCGAGTCTCTAAAGCACGTATGAAAACTGAACATTTACTATCATCACGAACTAAGCACTAGAGTCCTTTTTATTATGTAGTTAAAGTACTTTTCATTTATAAACATTAATATCTCTATGAATGATAAGTGTATGATGTCATGTACAGTAAAACAACACTTCAGCGAATAACCTGCGGATAAGCTAGCGGAACTGGAACCCAATCGTAATTGCACAACATTTGTATATTATACCGATAAAACTTGATCTCCTGAAATTGCCTATCGCATTACAACGCAGTTGCTGTATTATCTTAATTGTTTCAATGAGCGGAACGGAACATTCGAACTGCGTGAAACGGTGCCCATAAAATGTTTTGAGTCACATTTCGGAGTTATGAAGAACGTTTGAAGGTCGAAAAATAAACAAGAATTTGTAATGTTGAGTGATCAAGGGACGTATGATCACGGAGTAAATGATCGAGAGGTAAACGAACATCACAGAGCTTGTTTGCGAACGAATCGCTGGGAACTTTGCCCTCTTTCCGGGCACGAAAGATGAGGGCGTAGATCCAGTTGATTGGTACCCAATATTTGTCATAATTTATGTCGATTGATTCCAGTTTCTCCTTCTCATGTTCCAACATGAAACCTGCAAGCCAGGGGTTTTCTTCAGAATCTAATTTCATGTCAATGATTCGCTAGCGCGTATATCTGTTTTCCGGCAAACTATTGAAGAATAACTGAATTTGATGCTCACCATTGAGCAATTCGCAAATTTCGACATTTCCATAATATTTCATTCACTGAATTCACAATGAAAGAAACTTGTGTTCCTAATATTAGACTAGGAATCGGTTGAACGGAAACCAACCAGCTTGAACAATACTTTCGTAGGTCGGAAAACGTTTCCTTACGCGAACACTAATATCTCTATAAACAAGCAATTGTGTTAGGCATAAATATCTGGCCATGGTTCGCCTCAATATTCGGCACTCATCATCAGTACCGTACACGTAACCACCAATGTAGATTGCAGGACTGAAACAACAACACCTTCATCGATAATAGTGATTCATATCCGCAATTCTTCGTGTCATTCTGCTTGCTTTTACACAAATTAGTCATCATATATATTAGGCCGGAAATAAAATCCCTGAGCCGTATTCCTCAGATTCGTGAACTCAATTGAACTCTTCATAAGCAACTAACTAG